TTCCAAGGCTGTATGTATCACAAGCCTGATAAAGGATCAAGAAGGGAATTTTCGGGTTTGGGCAGATGTGGGGGTTGGGTAATGTTCCTCTCGCCTCCTCACACAGAGTGTTGACAAAAGACAATTAAACGCAGCTTGCCTGCAGTATTGATCATGTCTCCCTGATAGGCAGAGCAGAACCACAGCACCTGTATTCATTAAACAACCTGTTTAGCAATCACTCGGTAGAAGGAGAAGTCAAGCTCTGTTTGTGAAACGAAGCACCACAGGCCGAGCAACACCTGCACGATTGCACGGAAACTTTTCAATGGAGCGTGACGGAAGGAAGGAACAGAGGGGAAGGGAAGGACAGCTCATGACCTTGTCTTGAGAAAAAGGAAAGGGGGAGGAAAAAATAAAAACAAACAAAAACATAAACAAAAACCAACAAATGTTAATTTCAGCGTGTTTACTGCGATAATAAATGGAATGAAACAGAGGTTATTAATTGCTTTATTGCTTTATAAACACTTGTTCCTTTTTTGGGCCTGAAGGTAAAATGTTAACAAGTTTGACTTGTCCCTGTGAAATTAGGAAATGCTTTGGCAAGTCAAATGATTCAATGAATATTAAACAGATACTGCATATTGAGGTGTAATTTGTTTTGAAATACTTTTTTTATTTTGCAAGAAAGCCATTGCTTGAACCTATACCTAATTTACATTCCTTTCGATGCTTTCTTTCACCCTTCAGTGAGTAACTATTCATTCTTAAAACCTGTTTGAAAATAGGTCATAAATGGTAGCTCCTGTAAGAATATGCCCATACATGGTCAGGGAATTTAAACTGCAATGTTATAGACCCTCTTAATCAGTTACATATGTCCTCACATTCATGCACATAACTATGAAGTATATATATATATATATATATATATATATATATATATATATATATATATATGTAAACAGTACATATTATTGAAGTTCACAAGCACTCAATCGTCAGTTTTTTGGAGACCATACATGATAAACATTGGAGTAGAAACAAAATCCTGTGCAGAGTTTAGAAAATGTCAAAATGTCAACACACGATAAAGCTGTAAGAAGTGATATATATATATATATATATATATATATATATATATATATATATATATATATATATATTCCTTCAACTGCAGAAATAGGGCATCAACAAAAAAGCTCAAAGATTTCTGTTATAACTTGAGACAGGAAAAAGGGCTTGTTGTCTGGCCTATTTTCTAAAAAGTCTCCATCTGTGATGACCTTGACTCTACATTGAATTATTAATACCTCAGAGAGCAAAAAGAAAAAGCACGATGGTACCAGTAGTCCTCATTTAATTCCAGCATACAAGGGAAGGGAGCGAGTATCTGAATGAGAGCTCAATAAAAGTAAGTGCTAAAGCTTTGACATGAGGGAGAGTTTAGCGTCTGCCCTGTCTTAACCTGTGTTATCTATCAACTGTGACCTTGACCTGCTGCTACAGCTAAGGACATCTCTAGGGACTGCCGGCCGCTGAGACACAATCAGACTGGAAGGGAGATTTTCATATGCCATTGACTGGCCTATTCATAGAAGAAAGGCTGCATTGTGGATTGATTTTTCTGTTTTTCAGCAGGGGTGACCTTTTGGCGTGAGCCTGGTACAAACTGAACTCTAACAGAAGGTCGAAGAAATGCTTGAAGATACATGGTGTGGGACAGTTCCCAAGATTAAGGGGCAAAGGTTTTCATGTGTAAGGGTTATTCTCATAAAGAAATAGTTAGTTTGAACTGGGTGTCCATGTCTAGGGGCAAGATGGGAACAATCATCAAGGGCAAAATGGGAACAATCACTGAGATACGGGGATAGAAACACATATTTTCAGTCTCTCCTGATTTGGATTTGTTGTATTGCATTTCTTGACTCTGCTACAGCTTACATAGCTTCTTTGTCAATCGCTTGTCTTGTACCACAAACCAGAAATCTGGAACCAAAAGGCGAAAAATATATTTTTGAATACGCATTTTGGTTTCTCAATGGCGCCCCATAGCTTTGCATTAATTTGATAGAAAGCTGTTCAAAAAACATACGTCAGAGAGATTGAACAAAGACCCACATTAGTGTTCCTGTTTAAGTGCTAGAGAGCTTAAAGCTGCCCAGATGCATCACAGTAAGAGAGCAAACTGAATCAATCTAAATGGTAAATGCCAGTACGACCCTTACGCTAAAAAGCACTAATAACAAACTGTCTGCCCATGACAAACATGCTGCCGTGCAATTTTGTTTCAATTGTCAATCAAACACAGACAGGAACAACCCCTTCTACCTGCTAATGGAAAGTACATCTTCCGAAATACATTAGTTCTTCCTTTTAACAATAACGTATTATTAACAATATGTTAAAAAACACATTGAGAAATGAGAAAAGCTGTTTGACCATCTGACAAGCAGTTCTGCTGAAGCATAATGGCCTCTTAACTCCCACCCACTAACACTGTACTGTATAGCGGTCTCCAAAATAAATCTGTTTCTCCTAAGTGCAAGTGGAAAATCACCAGTTAGATATTACAGATTGTTCTAGTATGTTTATCCGCTCACCACAATCTTAAGACTTGATTAGTCATTATTTTGCATTATGCATTTGCTCCTTTTTTTCCAAAATGACATTCCTCTGCTTACCAGGGTGTTCTTTTTTATAGCTAATAAACTAGCAGAGAGGACATTCAAAGAGCAAGCCTTATTAACTGTTAGTCATGGATCAGGGCATCTGTAGTCCGCAAAGATCCTTGGAAAAGCCTGCAGTATATTGCTTTGCTCTCGGTCTTGGCCCCTTTCTCCCACTTCCTGTGGGCGAGGTTGATTATTAATGTGTTTTTTTTGTTGACTGAAGACATTCAGAAGCTTTAAAAAAACAACAACAGGTTTATGGATTCGTAATAGTGCAGCAATTTCTGATTGATTATGTCATTCTATTTTTTCTTTTTTACACAGTAACAAAAGGTGTTTTGATTAGATTACCATTTAGTATTGTATTTCACCACTTTGGGTGAAGCAGAAATGTTGCAACATAACTGACTGTATTGTCCACCAATAAGATGCATCATGATAATGTCCTTGAAGAAGAGGACACCTTGATAAAGTCACTTGAACTAACATGACCTCAGGATATGCCTTATCAACAGATAAACAACTCCCTTCCAGTAATTATCATGGCTGTCTTAAAATAGAAACTATAATTCCATAAAACTATAATTAATTTGCATATTTGGGTGTACAATTTCTTAAATTAACCAGGCATTGTACCAAGTATTTGCACAGTAAAAGGCACTAAGATACTAAGTGTGACATGTTATCTGAAAGAAGGCAAGCCTATACTGTATATGTGCTTCCTCAGAGTGTAAATACAGGTTTTGAATAAACATTGTGGAGCCGTATATCTGCCTTATTTCATGTTAAAGCCTTTGAACACATCAGTACCTGCTCTGTAGGGACAGTGTGAGTCCGTTTATAAGTAACTCATTTCCTGTGGCATTCATCACACACCTTAAACCCCTGAGACACAACCTTGGTTATCTGTTTGGAAATTAGGCAGGTGTCTTTTTTATCATAGATTATCTCCATAGGTAAGATAGTTAGTGTATTGCCGTCTCTTTGCAACAAGCACAAGCACAGGAGGATAGTTTATATTCTCTGTAGTGTCTTGTAGCAAATTCCTAACAAAGAGCTTCTTTTAGGTTTGACAGTTAGAAAAAGCTCTAATATTTGTTCTGTGCCACCCTATCTGTTGACACATACCGCCAGGGCTTCAGGAATGTCACAATATTGGATCAGACAGCAACACCCACACTATACATCTGTCTTATCACATTTTCTTTCACCTGTTTTATAGAGTTCACCGATATCTTTAACCAAACATGGTGTAGCAGAAACTTTTTTAAGCCTTTTACAACACTTTTATCAGAACACAATGCACTCGTGCTTCGTTTTGCAATTATCTCGACCATGGATTGCATGAGGTGACGTTCTTAATGGCTCATCTTTTTCTCTCTTATCTTTGCTAATTGTTAACAATTCAGATACTTCGCTTTGATTTGCAAAGAAATGTATCTCTGAATAGAACACATTAGAAAATACATTTTTATTGAAAGATATCTAAGAAACGTCTAAAGAGACTCGTGTTTGACGCCAAATATGAAAGTATATCTCAAACAGACAAAGGATCCATTGTGAGCAAAGTAAGTTGCAAGTTCCTGTTTTCATCATACTGTACAAACCAACACACACATGTTCTTAATATTAAACAAACATATTTGTAGCACAAATGCATCATTTTCTGTGTGGATATTTCTAAATTGCAGACTTCACATTGTACTATATGCCTTTACAACTTTATCATTAACTTTGGAAAAAGTGTTTTTAACAAATCAATGTATTCATAAAGGTATTTATAAGTAAGTATAGCTTTTACATGAAATAACATTGGTGAGAAGTCCATAGTTGACATTGCACTCTTTGGTCAGAGATAACTTTTTTTTAACTAACTCTTTTCTTTTCCGTTGACTTGGTTGTTATGCTTTTTATGACCTAGCAAGGCAAGGCAAGGCAAGGCAAGGCAAGGCAAGGCAAGTTTATTTATATAGCACCTTTCAACACAAGGCAATTCAAAGTGCTTTACAAAAATGGAAGACATTAAGAAAATGGCATTTAAATTTAGCAACAGTAAACCCTGACCTTGCCTATCACTATTTGTTGTAACTGTGTCAGTTGCTTTCGTCTTTTGGAATATGTGAACGTCACAGACCGAGTCCAACCCCTTTCATGCCTTCCTGTACTCCAGTCCTCTTTCTCTAGGTGGGGGGGGATATAAATGCTTTAAAACCTGTTCCTTCCTCCTGAGAACAACACAAGAGGGCCATACCTCTGTGCTAAAGGGTCACATATCAACTGCATATCCACAGAGAGGTTACAAAACAGTTACCTCATCATTTATTCTTCAACTCATCAAAGACAGAGAGAGAGAGAGAGAGAGAGAGAGAGAGAGAGAGAGTATTAGTAACGGGAGAGCAGCTGGGAGGCTGCCGTTAAGAGATCAGCCATGCTTGGAGGCATCTTCAAAGATTTGTTGGTCACAGTGACTCTACTCTTTCTAACTCAGACATGGACTCAGTGCAGGTGGGTGTCAAGATAATTAAATGTTAACTGCCAAAATGAAGCTGATATGTTGTTTAAAAATAGTGTTGTACTGGTTTTATTGAGTGAATAACATTTTGATTTTTGCTCAATGTTATTATTTAATCATTTCAATATTGGAATAACTTGTAGCAAAGAACAATGGGATTGAATACACAAATTGATTTTCTATTTCAGGGCTGAAGTTGATTTTTCATTAGTTACTTTACCAGATTGGAGAAAAAATGCAGGTATGACGTTTTACAATTACTAAGACTTGTGGATACTTTATATATCGTTGCAATTTATTACAGTAAATGACATTTTAAAAAATCACACACTGACTTAAACCAATATTTGACTCATTGTTCTTCTTTCATAGAGTATGGTACACAGTGTTCCTACGACGGACATAACAATCAGATTTGTGACTGGACCCAACTAAGAACAGGTACAGACAAAAGCTGAAAGAAAAATGAACTGCAAATTTGAAAGCAAAATGTGTTTCTTTTAAGGAGGTTACAGTAAAGTGTATTAAGAGTTCACTTTGACAGTGAGAGACTGTGACTGTATAGTTACCTTTCATTTTGTTCCTACCCTTTTTGAAGAGGATTTGGAACAGCAGTCCACAGTTCTGTTATAATCTACAGGCGGGCTGTGACTGTGTGTCTGTACCTCGCTGCGTGAATGATCTGAAGCAGGCTAATAATCTTTTATAGCCTGGTGTTCTCCCAGGAGCAGTCAAAGATGAGGGCCTGCACTTAAGGTTCAAAATTAGCACAAAACACACTAAACTGCAATTCTGCATTTAATGATTATTGCACCACAACAGATGTACTTCTTTTTTTTATTACAATAACAGAGACGAGGGAATGGTTTGCTATTTTCTTTAAGTAATAAAACTTATGGTCCGACATAAAAGCTTATTCCTAACCTGCGTGGTTAAAAATAAATGTCACCATTTTACTTGAGTGGTTTAAAAGGAATGGAAAGGCTATTGTCATTGAATTTGTACTTCAGAAGGTACTAATACAACTAATAAACTAATAAAAAATGGACTTTGATAACTTTTTATTATGTGGATAAAAGCAGCTACTGATTACACTTTCTTACGGTCCTTTTCATCTGCAGAGGATGTGACTATTTTAGAGAGCGGCCCACTGGTGCTGGAGGGCAAAGCCTGTCTAGAGTTTTGGTATTTAGCCCCCGTGGCAGCTTATGGGACAGCACTCAGCACTCTGCTGAAGAGCAGCACGGGCCTGAGAGAAATCTGGACCTCACCTGTCCTCCCCAGGGATTCTTGGAGACAAGTGTTTGTCCCCTTGAACATCATCGAACCAGGGACTCAGGTAAAATGTCATATAATAAACAGTATTGGGGAATCAAAATATAGTACTGTTAAATAAAAAAACACAATCTGCTTCTGTATCAGGTTGTAATCAAAGCAGTGTCCACGGAGGGACAGTTCACATTTAATCATCTAGGTGTAAGAAGAGGCTCATGTGGTAAATATATATTTTTTTTTTATATTAATATAAGAACAGCCAACCTTTGATTCCTATGATGAAACAAAATCCTGTTATTTTCAGCTATGTATGGTGATAACAATGTGTATGCAAAACATAAACCAATACTGTCATAACACTTGTCAGCTTAGTGAAACAGTAAAAAGATCCTATTTCCCAAAACTCTTATTCTAAAGCTTTAAGATGTAAAAACAGTTTGAACTTATTATAAGGCAGTAGGAATGTTTTACTTATAATACGTTATCAGTTACATCTTTGAATCACATGTTGAATAACTGTGATCATTAACATTAATCCACATACTGTATGTCAAGTTACTATTCAGTTATTCTAGCCAGATGGTGTTGTGATTATAACGTGATTGTTTACTCGGTCACATCCCCCACAGGACAACAGTGTGATTCTAACACAGAGTTTTGGACAGATGAGTCCACTCGCTGCCTCTGTTCTGGGGGCCAGCTCTCCTGCTCTCCCACTCAGTGCCCTAAGGGCCAAATCTGCAGTCCTCAAATAGAAAGATCCAGTGGGATTCACACCTCTGGGATATGCACTGTACACAGTCACACAGACTGCAGCACTTTTGATGGAGTGCTCTTCCGCTTCATGGCCTCCTGCACCTACACGCTGGCTAAGACCTGCTCACCCTCTGAGACTCTGCCATTGTTCAGTGTGGAAGTAGTGAATGAGCAAAACTGGAACTCATCTCTGCCAACTGTTCAAGAGGTTATTGTGGACATGGGGAACTTCAGAGTGTCCCTGCTGAAAAGACAGACGCATCGCATTGTGGTGAGTCACTTTAAAAGAGAAAATAGATCATTAGAAATACATTAGTGTGATCAATTGCTGATGTATAGTTAATTTTCTGTTTATCGTGCTCAGCTGTTTATTACTGTGTTTATCATCACCCATTAGGGATAAGATATTTTCAAGGGTAAAGAATATTTGTTTCCTTTAAATTCTACATTATTGTCACCCCCTTTGGTGTCATAATGACTAAGAACTGCATGTACCATATACTTCAGGTTTGTGGCACCTTTCCATTCTGGAGTAGTGAGTGTTGAGCTGGGAAATGTACTGAAACGAGCAGTTCCCCTATCTGCAGCCAACTCTACTGATAAACTGAGTTTATTGTAAAGTGCAGAGTTTAGTAGCACAATGTCCCAGACTTATCTCCCTTATCAATTTTTGCTTTTTATGCTAACTGTGAGATACAGTCAGTCCATATTGCTGATGACAGCCAGTAAGGAAGTCTAAAACTTTAACTTTCCTTCAGGTTAATGGTGTCTGGAAGAAGCTTCCACTGAGCCTTAACAATGGCTCTGTCAAAGTCAAGAGCAACCCCGCTGCTGTTGTACTGGAAACCAGTTTTGGTCTCTCTGTCTCATATGACAACGCTGGTGCTGTCCAAGTCGCGCTGCCATCCACTTACTCTGACCAAGTCTGTGGCTTGTGCGGAAACTATAACCACCTCAGAGAAGATGACTTCAGAAAGCCAGATGGAACAAATGCCCATGATGCTACAGGTTTGGCTGAGAGCTGGCGGACTGGGCAAAGCACTTCCTCCTGTGATACCATTCTGGTACCACATCAGTGTGACCCGCTGGAGGAGGCAGAGTATGCCAGTGAGCTGTACTGTGGGGGCCTCCTCTCCAGCACCGGGCCCTTTGCTGGCTGCCTATCAGTTCTGGGGGCAGAGAGCTACTTCAGGGCCTGTGTGGTCGACATGTGCTCTACCCACGGTGACACAGCGGTACTTTGTGAGACATTCCAGATTTACACCGATATCTGCCAGGAGGCTGGAGTCACCATACCCACATTGAGGAACTCTACACTATGCCGTATGTTTCTTTAATGACCCTTTAATGGGCAATTTATTGACCCACTGATGAAAAATAACAAAATAGTAAGAAATAATGACTTTGATAATACAACAACTGTTCAAGGCCTTTCTTCTTTTCTTTGTTGCCCCTCTCAGCCCTTCAGTGTGGTGAGAACAGCCACTATAACTCATGTGCTGATGGCTGTCCCGAGATGTGCTCCGGTTTGGATGCAGTTGGCTCCTGTGGAAGCTGTGAGGAAAGATGCGAGTGTGACTCTGGCTTTAAACTCAGTGGGGGAAAGTGTGTCGCAGCAGAGGACTGTGGGTGCTGGGATAATGGAAAACACTATGAGGTAAGTGATGTAGATGACTTTTAATTCACATTTTAACTTCCACAGTGCTATAATTGAATCACTCAACTCTGTTTTGCCTGCAGAAAGGAGCATCATTCTCGAAAGGGGAGTGTGAGCAGCAGTGTCAGTGCGTGGGTACAAATGAGGTGCAGTGCACCACAATGCAATGCTCAGACAATGAAGTCTGTAAAGTCAAGGATGGGGCCAAAGGCTGCTTTCCTTTCAAACCTGCCACCTGCAGCGTGTATGGTGACCCACACTATATCACCTTTGATGGGATGGCATATGACTTTCAAGGGGGCTGCAGTTACACGCTGACTACCACGTGCGGAGGAGAAAGCTCAGTGCAGTTCACTGTGATTGGACACAACATGCATCTTCCCCACACGAATTTCACTCCATCCAAGCTGGAAGCTGTGGATCTCCAAGTTGACGATGTATACGTCACACTGAATCAGAGCGGGGAGGTCTATGTAAGCACGAGAAATTCTCTACATATTACACAATGCCAACTTTGTTATATCATTGGGTTAATGGAACGGAGGCTGTATGCAAATGTGTTACAGTCCATGCAAATGTGTCTAATGACCTGTAAAGGTCAGGTCCTTACTGGATATAAAGAGTGCTTGTTCTGTTTTATTTATTGTCCTTCCTTAATTACCACAGCTCACAACTGTAAAATCAGCACACCCATGTTTATATGGTTCATGTATTACTCTGTGTAAAATCATAAGGGAAGTCACTTATCTAGAGTTAAGAACAAACAAACTTCGAGCTGACCTACTTTCCTTTGCCCTGAACAGCTAGTTGGTCGATAAAAGGCTGCACTTAATATCCCAATACAAATTAAATAGTGCTGTGTTTTTATGCAAGATATTCTTAAGAAACTCAGTTCTCACAAATAACTATTACAAATAATACATTTTCCTCTCTTTAGGTGAATAAAAGCAGAGTCCGACTGCCCTATTCCACCAATGGATCATATGGCTCAGTATGGGTCTACATGAAGAACAATTATATCATCTTGGAAACAACCTTTGGCCTCAGAATTATAATAGACGCACAGAACAGACTCTTCCTCCAAGTTGATGAACGCTACAAGTATGAACTTTGCGGACTGTGTGGCACCTTCTCGGACCGTCAGGAGGATGACTTTGTGACACCAGGAGGCCAAAATGCAACTGGTCCATTTGAGTTTGGTGACAGTTGGAAGGTGCCAGGCAATAACGAGTAAGCTATTCTTCTATAATGGTATCTATACATATTTTAGTGGAGATCACATGAATGCTGATAGTTTAATACATCCAAAAGGAAAAAGCGAGGCGTACCATCTCAAAAGAAAGTGAAGAAAACATGTTTTTAGCCACACTAGCTGTGTAGCATTAATTTTATTTCCACCTAAACTAAGATCAAGAACATGGAAAACATTATACCTTCTACTCATGTTAGCATAAACCCCTGCTGGGCCAAAGTACTGAAATATCTGAAATGTTTTCTGTTAAGAGGCAGTTGTTTGTTCTTTGCAAATAAGTAATAGCCATTAGACCATTATCTTGAAACCAATCTGACATCTTGGCTTTCTTTGTAGTTTATGAATAACCTGAAGAAGTTGTCAAATTATGTTTTCCTCACATAAATAGTATTAATAAACCTTATCAACATATCCGTTTGTTCAAAGTGGAACAGAAATATCACTATATCATTGTCTAAACGTTCTCCTTCAGGTGTATTTCCCACCCAGATGATCCCAGACAATGTGATGTTGATGAGGAGAATGAGGCCTACAATGAGTGCTACATCCTACTAGGGGACGCTTTCAAGCCCTGCCATGAAACCATTCACCCAAGCATCTACCTCAGCAATTGTGTGTATGACTTCTGTGCCACACGTGGTGACCGACACACACTATGTGAATCTCTTAAGTCCTATGCAGCAGCATGCCATGTTGCAGGAGTGGAGCTACCTCATTGGCAGACAGACACAGCCTGTGGTGAGTGTTTAGGTCAGACATTAGGATAAGAGTAACAGTGTGATTACTTTATAGTGTGTTTGCGACTTATGTCTAATGATATTTAGTTGTGAGACAATTAATGAACTTTTTTTTTTTTAAGTGTGTAATCTAAATGCATTTAAGATGAGAGGCAGTTTAACATAATAAGTATATTACCTAATTATTGATTTTCTTCAAAACGTTATGCTGTTGCTTTTAATTGTTAGGATTATGGCAGTCAACTGCAACTGGGCTGAGAGCCATGTTTGAGGCAATCCTTTCTTTCTGTATAAATATCATTTTTTTCTGTATAAATATCTGAGGCCAAAAACGTTTTGTTTTGTTGTCCCTATTTCAGCTGAACTCACACCTACTACAACTCTTCCACCACCTTCAACTACTACTTCTACAACAGATCAGACTTGTAAGAGCATTCAGGGTTGGGAATGTTTTTTGTTACTGGTTTGGATAATCAGTGGCAAAATTAAATTCATAATGAATAATTTCAAAACCAACTTTGGATTTACTTGGCTTGCCTTAAAAACAGATACAGTACTTAAATGCATACATTTATTAGAATAACTTTTATTAATAATAATAATAATATTTATCTACGGACTGGATGAAATCATGTTTTCTTGGAAAATGTATTTTTATCTACAATTGTACTTTTCATAATGTTATGTTCCTATGCATAATAAGCTTGTAATACTTGTCATGATCTTGTTTATATGATTTTTCACAGTCTGTCCCATAAACTGTGACTTTGAAAAGAATCTGTGTGGGTGGGAGCAGCTCATGCAGGACAGTTTTGATTGGACAAGACATTCAGGACCCACACCATCAAGCTTAACTGGCCCAAACCAAGACCACACCACTGGAGGTAAAACGTAATGTCAGGCGACGATATCACATCTGTAAAGTTGCTGCATTGATTTTAATTGTGCATGTTTGTCATGCTAATTTCAACTTTTCTGCAGCTGGTTTCTACATGTATATTGAAGGAAGTAGTGTAACCCATGGAGATTCAGCTCGTCTTTGGAGCTCAATGTGCCATTATGATGGACCACTCTGCCTGAACTTCTGGTACCATATGTATGGTTCAGCCAAGGCCATGGCCCTCAATATCTACCTGCTCAAAGACAATAAAGCTACTGAACTCTGGTCCATGATGAACAACCAAGGTCCAGAATGGCATCTAGGAAATGTTGATATCAGAGTGTCTGGTCCATTCCAAGTAAGTGACACATTACAGACAATATAATGACCTAAAAGATTATATTATTGTAGTTGTATATTAAAACATTTATTTTTCCCTTTTACATCTTTTAGATTTTACTTGAGGGAATTCGAGGCTCCGATGCTCAATCAGATGTGGCCATCGATGACATTTCCATAAACTTTGGCTCATGTTTAGGTGACATTCATTTAACTAAACAAAGCATTTTATATTTGACTAAATATATATGACTTGAGGATACAAGGACATTTCTAATGCTACAAATAAATTATATTATCTCAAATCATGGCCATTTATCAGGGTTTAAACATAACTAATAATGTCCTCCTTTAGGTAGTGTCCCTGGCCTGGTTAGTGGAACTGTGTTTCCCTCCTCAGCTGTGGAAGTCCTCCCCTCACACCCAGGTAAGTGCACAGGAAGCTTTTTTTATGGGCCAATTGTTTCTATGTGAGAAAGCTGATGTGTGGTTAGAATTTCACATTTATGTCTTGTGATTGGACTCCCAGTTAAAGATTTTCTAAATTTTTAGGAAGTTGCCAAGGTCCTCAATACTTAGTTCCTGTTAATATTTTGCAAATGTTTCCCTTATAGTCTGCAATTTGGACTGTAGCTTCGATAGCAGTCTTTGTAGCTGGAGTCAGATGATCACAGATGCTTTTGACTGGACATGGCAAAGTGGTTCCACCCCCACTCTGATGACTGGGCCCTCTGCGGACCACACTGGTGGTAATACACCCTTTTTCTATGTAATATTATAAATTATCACAGGTATGACACAGAGGTATTGAAAATATCTATCTCACCGTAGAAAGTGTATGTGAAAATGTTGATCATTTTGCTTCTCAATCTTAGATGGTCGTTATCTTTACATCGAGGCCAGCAGCGTGACGCATGGAGACACAGCTCGTCTCATCAGCTCTGAGTGTTCTGACTCTGGTCCTCAGTGTTTGCAGTTCTGGTACCACATGCACGGCTCAGCAGATACAATGGGCCTCCATGTTTACCTGCTCCAGGACAGACTAGCAGAAGCTGTTTGGTGGAAGACTAATGACCAGGGAAATATGTGGCAAATGGCTCAGGTGGACATCAGAACAACTGGAGCTTTCCAGGTGCAACATCTTCCACCAGGCACTCAAATTATTGAAATATTGTCAGCCAACGGTGTTGTAGAAGTACATTTTAACAATAAGAGACTGCAAAACTAATGATAACTAATCATTTTTCCACAACTTAGATTATCATTGAGGGACGTAGGGGCTCCAATGAAGAGTCGGATTCGGCAATAGATGATGTAAAGCTTTATCGTGGACGATGCTCTGGTAAAAAAACATGCACAGTGAATGAAAACTACTAAACCTTAAAAATGTGATATTTATCCCAAGGCTGTGTAATCTGATAATGTTTTAAATAAACTGTTGTAGGTCTGAGTGGTGTTGAGTCAACAAGTCCTTCCAAACCTGATGGAAGCACAGCTTCTCCAAGTGTCCCTGTGCCCTCCACTGCAGATCCAGAGCCCCCTCAGGTCAATGTAACTGCTCAGCCCTCTGAAGCAAATGTTACCATACCTCCCGTAGTGGCAGCAACAACCGACTTTAATAAGGACAACGTTACTGAAGCTCCAGATAACAGACACCCAGGTAAAGTTCTAATTCCACAGCACTACGTGTAACCCCGGCTGTCTGAACCTTTATCATTTTTTTGTGATTTCCAGTTAATTAAAGATATCTTTGACTTGTGTGTGTAGTATGCCAACTCAACTGCAACTATGAACAAGATCTATGTCAGTGGACCCAACTTGCTACTGATGTTATCGATTGGACAAGGCATAGTGGCTCCACCCCAACTATAATGACTGGGCCTTCTTCAGATCACACTACGGGAGGTAATTAGCTTTCTCACACAAGCCATGTAACTTTTGTGTTGGACTGTCTGCACACCCTTTGCCAGTTTCAGCCACACAGTCACAAGGTGAAAAACATTTTGGTTGTTGAAATAGTTATTCCTCGTTCAACCAGAATTGTAGACTGTCAGGCTATGAGTTCCTGGTGTACTGTTTTACATAAAGATAAGATATCTTTCCGTTAACATCCTGAGGATGGGCAATTAAGAAATGTTTTGCATTTTAGTGTTTTGAGGACATTTGGATTGTCAACATTTAGCAACCATTTCAGTTGCATCTTGATATACCTTAAACTTATAGTATGCTATGCATTTTTTTTTTTCAAACTCTTTTGTCCTTAACCAGGTGGCCACTATCTTTACATCGAAGCCAACAGCGCGTCACATGGTGACACAGCTCGTCTCATTAGCTCTGAGTGTTCTGACTCTGGTCCTCAGTGTCTGCAGTTCTGGTACCACATGTACGGCTCAGCAGATACAATGGGCCTCCATGTTTACCTGCTCCAGGATAGATTAGCTGATGCTGTTTGGTGGAAGAGAAATAACCACGGAAATATGTGGCACCTGGCTCAGGTGGACTTGGTAACATCTGGAGCTTTCCAGGTAAAATGTTATTCTCCTCATCTGACTAATGATAAAAACTTGCAGAGCAAAACACAAAAAATGTACTACCTGAAAAAATAAATTAGTAATTGGTCTTGTGCTGGTATACTGTACTTTAGCATGAACCTGTGCAATTTATTTCAGGTTATATTTGAGGGGCGAATAGGTTCCAATGATCAGTCTGATGTTGCCATAGATGATGTATCACTTCATCGTGGACACTGCAGAGGTAACTATTTTCTCTTGCTGACATTCAATTTTGTTCACATACATTGTAACTGGGAATGTGTCTGACTTTTTGTTTGTGAAATATCATTACAGACCTAGCTCAACCAACAACCCCTGCTCCCACAACCTCCAACCCAGTTGCAACAGAAGGTAAAGAGCTTCCTCAAGAGAATAACTCAACACAGCCACCATCAACAACTACCTTCACAACAACAATCCCCACAACAACAGTAGCTCCAACTGCTTCTGATACACAATCCCCTACAAAGCCAGACACAACAACAAGGCCACAGCTTTCAACAACCTCCAAACCAATAGAAACTACCACAACTGGCCCTGAAACTACAGCTAGACCCCACCCACTGACAACAGAGCACCCAGGAGTTGAACCCTCAGATCAACCAGAACCTGAAATTGAAGAAAAACCTCAAACAACAGAAGGACAAGAGCATCCTGTTACATCTACTAATGAACCCCACACTACAGATAGACCACAACCACCAACTGAAACTCTACCACAGCCAGAAACAACAGGTAAACCACAACCACCAACTACAGCTACACCAAAGCCATCACAAACTACAGTTAAACCACAACCAACAACTACAGCAGGACCACAACCTACAACAACTAATAAACCAAATTCGACAACAGTTAAACCACAACCATCAACCACAGCTTCACCACAGCCACCACAAACTACAGTTAAACCACAACCAACAACCACAGCTTCACCACAGCCACCACAGACTACAGTTAAACCACAACCATCAACCACAGCTTCACCACAGCCACCACAAACTACAGTTGAACCACAACCACCAACAGCTACACCACAGCCACCACAAACTACAGTTAAACCACAACCAACAACCACAGCTTCACCACAGCCACCACAAACAACAGTTAAACCACAACCATCAACCACAGCTTCACCACAGCCACCACAAACAACAGTTGAACCACAACCACCAACTACAGCAGGACCACAACCTACAACAACTAATAAACCACATTCGACAACAGGTAGACCACAACCTCCAACTGAAACTCTACCACAGCCAGAAACAACAGCTACACCACAGCCACCAAAAACTACAGTTCAACCACAACCACCAACCACAGCTACACCACAGCCACCACAAACAACAGTTCAACCACCAACCACAGCTACACCAAAGCCATCACAAACAACAGTTACACCACAACCAACAACCACAGCTTCACCACAGCCACCACAAACAACAGTTGAACCACAACCACCAACAGCTACACCACAGCCACCACAAACTACAGTTACACCACAACCAACAACCACAGCTTCACCACAGCCACCACAAACAACAGTTAAACCACAACCATCAACCACAGCTTCACCACAGCCATCACAACCTACAGTTAAACCACAACCACCAACTACAGCTACACCAAAGCCATCACAAACTACAGTTAAACCACAACCACCAACCACAGCTACCCCAAAGCCATCACAAACTACAGTTCAACCACAACCAACAACCACAGCTACCCCAAAGCCATTACAAACAACAGTTCAACCACAACCAACAACCACAGCTAGACCACAGCCACCACAAACTACAGTTAAACCACAACCAATAACAACAGCAGGACCACAACCTACAACAACTAATAAACCACATTTGACAACAGGTAGTCCGCAGCCTACAACTACAGCTACACCACCATCAACAACAACGGCAAGACCTCAACCACCAGTTACACCTGTACCAAGTAAGTTCAAAGTATTTCCGTATATACATGGATTGGGTATAATATATACTTTACACCTCACAGGTTAGGCACCATTGACAGCTGAGGCTTTGGGCATGTTCATATGTGTGATGAAATGTCACCTCCTCTAGTGTGATTAACAAAAAAAACATTATTTAAACCAAAAGACTTTAGTTATCCAGAACAACAAAGTGTTGAAAGGGACACGATTATCTAGTCTCACTTTATTGAAATTAAACCCTAAAAGAAAAGCTTAATCATTTCATATTATATCATATGACATGACATGATGTTTGATTGTAAGTGCTTGTGAAATGTGATATGTGGCTTTGACTTACCACTCAGCCCTGATTGTATAAACCTTTGTATTGACCTTTTGTTGTTTATCATGTTAAGCTTGAGAATATACACTCTTTCTCGTTAGCACCCTCTTGTCCAGAGAACAGTCACTACACCACTTGTATCCCTGCCTGCAGTCCAACCTGCACACACCTGAATGGCCCACCACGTTGCACTGAAGATGAGGGTTGTGTGCAGGGATGTGTATGTGATGAAGGCTTTGTTCAGAAAAAGAGGGTTTGTGTGCCTATCGAACAATGTGGTTGTGTGGAAAGGAATGGCACCAAATATGATGTGAGTGACAGAATAGCTCTTCATCAAAGTCACATGTTTTTTTACAGTATAAAATACTTACGGCTACTTTTGTTTTGTCAGTTCTCTGATGTGTGGTACACCAATCACTGCAGTCAGAAATGTGAATGTGAGAAAGACCATGGCGTGGGTCAGATTGACTGCGATGACAAAGATGAGTGCGATGGAAATGCTGTTTGCCTTCAAAATGATGAGGGCAATTATTACTGCCAGTCTACAGGTACTGCAAGTGTCACCATTTAACTCTTTTTAATTGTGATATATCTTAACCATGTTACATCTTGTGAAATCATTTATGAATTTCTTCACAGGCTTCAGTGAGTGCACCATCAAGGAAGACCCTGAATACAGATCATTTGATCAAATGAAACACGACTTTGAGGGTGACCACTCGTATGTGCTGGTCCGGACCAACAACTTGCCAAATAACCTTCCACATGTCTACATCGAGGGTATCAACACTGTAAACGATGAGGATGATAGTCATCAACATGACGACAGCAGCAGTGAAGAAGACCACAGTCGCAGAGTTAGGGATGATGATGAAGATGACCATGATAATGACCATGATAATGACCATGATGATGACCATGACCATGATGATGATGATGATAGCAAACATGATCACTCAAGTGAAGAGCACAAGGAGAACCACAGCTTACAAGAGCTTAAGATCAGAGTGTATGATCATACTGTGGTATTAAAGAAAAACCGGAGGCTGGTTGTAAGTATCAAATACATTTCTAACAATATTATTCTTTCCATGTCATTGAACTGTGGCTCCTTCATAGCAGGTATTAGGATAAGATCATCATATTCTTGCAAGCCCAAAGACATTTGTGAAAGCGCTGAGTGGAATAACCAGTGTTTCTTGTTACAACAGCATAAATGCAACTGATGCATGCTGTATCTTTCTTTGTAATGTGAGACTTCCCTCTTGGCCCTGCTGTAAGGACATTAACAATGGAGGATGGAAAAGAATGTTACAAATTGTGGCGCTCATAAACAGTGCTGTAGTCAGTGGCACTAAACTCAGTACAAATGAGTCTGATAATGTTGTTTTTTGTAAAGAGTTCTGAAGAAACGGATTGTGCTGCAATGACAGGGGCCACTTGAAAAGTGATTACTATAAATTAACCTGACAGAGACATGTATGTTAAGGTTGAAAAGAACCATCTTGTGGGGACTATGAATGTTTGTACCAAATATTGTTGCCAATGTATCCAATAGCTGTCGAGATTGTCCAGTCTGAACAACCATCACTACAGTAACACTGACATAAATGGCTAAAACTTAATATTTTATCAGACAAGTCTACTTAATATAAGTTACATTGGGAATTACCCCTCTCTGTCCCCCTCCAGGTGGATGGAAGGAGAACTAAAACTCCCGCCTCACCGACTGCTGGTCTAAAAATCTGGGAACATTCTTCTCGCATCTACCTGAAGACCGACTTCGGCCTCTCCGTGGAGTTTGACGGCCACGGCAGAGCAGGTAATTCATCAACAAATCCTTAAATCACAATTCATAATTTCATACATTGTCAGTTAAATGAGTAATTTTTTTCTGGAAGAGAGTTAAAGACGTAATAAGGTAATGCTCTGTTGTTGATGTTGTTTCTGCAGAGATCATTCTACCCCGCATATACAAAAGGAAAGTTGGGGGTCTGTGTGGGAACTTTGACGGTAAAAAGGAGAATGACATGATGAAGCCAGATGGTACCAGGGCCAAGAACGTTCAAGAGTTTGGAGAGAGCTGGAGAGTGTGAAAAATGGGTGGACGTCGGGATGAGACATACAAAATACTCTGTGGAAATGTTGACGACTAGTTGTAACATCACTGTGGCATTCACAAAAAAGCTCAACACTGATGCACCCTTACCCTAATAAAAACTTAAGAGTTAAGGAGATTTCAGTTTTTCCTTAGACAGCAGGTCATCTCCAAACCTAAGCTGACAAAACATGACTTGGAACGAACATAACCTGTGGCCATGAAGACTTTAAAAGGACATGGACTATAAAAATGTTATACACACAAACTATATCATAGTAAAATAAGACATGTCTGCTGCCTACACCGTTTTCTGGGATTTTGCATTGTTTCAAGAATGTGATGTCCAACTTTCAAGTCCATTTTTTAAGAACTAACAAACTTTTATGAAATATCTCACATCTTTAATTTTTTCAAGAAATCATTGTACTCCTTGTGAGATATATCAGATGTTGTCCGTTGTCATTAGGGTAAAGTATTTGTTATGCATGACAATACAATTATGTATCAATATCCAATATTGTTGGAAAGAAACTCTATGTAACTTGTACCTGTTCATAAAGTGTATTTGAATGACAAATGATTAAGTACTGTGGTTACATTGGTGTAGCCATTAGTCTCTAGACATGTCAGTCTGAAGTGTAGCTAAAACTGCATTCTTGACATTTCTACAGTCTGTGTCTGATAATTACAGTAAGAAAAAAGTTTACACAACTTCTGTAACATGATATAATTCTGAAGACAAAGGCAGATGTATTCTCTGTGAAGACAATAGGATTATTATCATCACGAGTGTACCTATAAATAAGCCGTTGTTACACTCAACAGCAACAGAGTCATGGGTCGGTTTTCATTTTGCTGCTTTGTCCTGTCGAGCTTGCTACCTCTCTGTAATGGTGAGTAAAACATAATTTAATATTGAACAGTTTACCAAAGTAATATCGTGGTATAATTATCTTAATTTCCTTTTTTTCAGTTTCTTATTGATAGAAGATTTAGAATACACAGTTACAACAATTGTTTTAATCATGACCTAGTTTTTTGTTGTTTGACCTGATTGTAACGAGCCAAATAAATAATCTAAATGTACATGACTCAGCTGATTGTATTTTTTCCAAATAATAATGGTAGATTATTAAAATGTGTCTCATAAGTGCAGTTCCACCTAAAATTAAAATAAATATGTTGGATCAGGTCATTGACCCTGCCTACTTGTGGTGGAAAACATGGCTGAAATCGTATATTGCAGTACATGTTACTTTATATCAGGGTAATGGTTTATGCAGTAGTCACTTTGTAAATTCAAGAAATGAAAATTAACACACAGTGCTTCATATTTAAGTATTGTTTTGGTACTCCCATAAAAACAATTGCCTCCAATGAGACATTTGAAACAAAACTTGAAACAGTTAAACTGAAATTATGTCAAAATGGAAACGTTAAGGTTCTTGACAACAACTTCATGTGAGAAGGGTTTCAAAGTGTTCAAGTGCTGATAAACACCATCCTGACTTTAGTCCCTGCAATTAAAAACAATAAGACAAAAAAATATTGACTTTACCTGCAGAATTTTCTCATCAAAACCTGAATGAATGTTGAACAAACACACACTTTTTTAATTTACATTTTAAAATGTATAAATTAAGACAAAGTAAATGTAGAAGAGACAAGGAAGAGTAGTTCCTTAAATAGGAATTAATTTTAGTATGTGTGATTTTCTCTTAAACTTGGAAATAGACACTTCACTAAAACCATTTTATAGGAAAGATTGAACAACATCAATGGTGTTTACTTTGATATCCATGCAAGTCACCTCTTTCAGCTCAAGCAAATGCTGAACTTAAATGTTCTTGTTTTATGTATTCTATTGAAATGACATGTCATTGTCTCTTATGATTTTCTAGCTCAATCCGCAGCTCCAACAGGTAAAACCACCTCATACACTGTAACCAACTACTTGCTCCCAATCCTCTAGTGACACATAATCTGCCTCCATCCCAACTCTACAATGAACAGAGACTTTTAGCTACAACTAATAGTTTCATTATATCTACACTACACCTACACTTGCTATAGAATAAGCTATGCTATAAGTCCTATGCATGTTTACTATTTGATAGACGATCATGAGGGTGTGAGACACCAGAGTGATCATGAAATAAAACAGTGGATTAACAGTTATAAATCGATACAGTGTAAATGATTGATTAAAGATGTGTTGGGTGTGCAGGCTGTGCAGGTCCACCTCTGCTGTGTTGCTCTGGTCAAAACAGCAGTTGTTCAAGGGGTTGTTACTGTGACACTTCCTGCGTGCTATTTAACGACTGCTGTAGTGACCACTTTTCAACCTGCTTACAAGGTGAGTGATGGTGAAGACATGGAAAAGGAATGATACACAGTGATGCCAGTTTGTGATTGAGATGAGGTTTATAATGCACATTTTCGTCTTGAATACAGGCTTTAACCCTTCACCACCAAGAAGACAGAGCACAACAAGAAGCAGTACCAGACATACACTGGAAAATGACACCAAAACGTCAACCTTCCCATCCAAAACAACAGCATCAGATACAACATTGGCACTATTGGATGTCAGCACAACCTCTGCCTCGATAGTATCTACTACAGAAACCATCCCAACAAGCAGAGACAAATCTACACGAGCAGATAACTCAACTTTATCAGCCTCTTCAACAACAACACCCAGTACATCAAACAGCAACACTACCCCTACGCTAGCAGACATTGTAAAAGCTTTTACAGTCTCTCCTTCTTCACCACCCAGCACAGCAGAATCTACCCTGGGGGAAGTGAGTACAACTTCAGCTTCTACAATTGCTGTTACTTTGGAAACAAGACAAACAAACAGCATCACATCAGCACCAGCAAATATCGGGACAACTTCAGCATTGACAACCTTGAATATAAGACCACAAAGCACAACGAATGTCAATACTACACCTATATTAGAAAACATCGTAACATTAGCATCAACAGTCTCTGATACTACAACATCCAGCACAACAGAATCTGCACAGCTGGAAGTGAGCACATCTTCAGCATCGAAAACATTGCCACCAAGCACAAGTACAATTAGTACATCTACGCCGACAGATGTCCCTCCATCTTTGTCATCCCCAGGCCCTCTAACAAAAGTTCCAAGTAAAACAAGAAGCACTACTGCATCAGATGTGAGCACAAACGCAGAGTCCATAATGTTTGCTTCAAAAGCAACCAGCCAAACAAACAGCAGCAAAGCTACACTAGTATATAACAGCACAACTTCATCAGCCTCTGTAACAACAGCAGCTGGATCAACAAACGTCAATGCTACCCCTACGGTAGCAGACATTGTAACAACTCTAGGCTCCATAGTCTCTGATACTTCTACACCCAGCACAACAGGCAGCACTGCAGCATCTACACCGGTGAAAGTGAGTACAAATTCAGCACTCACCGTTGTTAATATGTCAGAATCAACAGTCTCTCCAACAACAGCATCCAGTAAAACAAGCAGCACAACAGCATCAGAAGGGAGCACACACTTTGCTTTGACAACAACCAGCCAAACAAGTCTCAGTTTATCTACACCAGAAGAAACAAACAGCAATACTACCCCTACACTAGGAGACATCGGAAAAACGTTGACATCCACAGTCACTGATACTACAACACCCAGCACAACAAACAGCACTGCAGCATCTACACTGGTGGAATTGAGTACAACTTCAGCATCCACCATTGGGGATACAACAACACAGAGAACAAGTACAAGTACATCTACATTAAAAGATACACATTTGTCTTTGTCATCCACATCCTCTCCAACAAAATCTCCCATTACAACAAGAAGCAATAATGCATTAGATGTGAGCACAAACCCAATGGCCGTAGCTTTTGCTTCAACAACAACCAGCCAAACAGACGGCAACACATTCAAACCAGCAGATAAAAGCACAACTTCAACAGCCTCTGCACAAACAGCACTCAGCACAACAAACAGCAATACTACCCCTACACCAGCAGACATCGGAAAAACGTTGACATCCACAGTCACTGATACTACAAGACCCAGCACAACAAACAGCACTGCAGCATCTACACTGGTGGAATTGAGTACAACCTCAGCATCTACAGTCTTAAAACCAACACCACCAAGCTCAAGTAGTAATACAACAGGCAGCACTATGGCATCTGATGTGAGCTCGAACCCAGTGTCCAGAGTGTTTGCTACTACAGCAACCAGCCAAACAAGCAGCATTGAATCTACAGCAGCAGATAACAGTAACACTTCATCAGCCCCTTTAACAACAGCACCCAACACAACAAACAGAAACCCTACCTCTTTGCTAGCAGTCATTGCAACCACTTTACTATCAACATTCCCCGAAACTACATCAGCCAGCACAACAGGCATCAAATCAGCGTCTACATTGGTAGAAGAGAGTACAATTTCAGCATCCACAGTCACTCAAACTTTAGAACCCAGACAAAATAACAACAATACATCTGCACCAGAACATATAGAACTAACAACCAGCCAAACAAGTGGCAGTATATTTACACCAGAGGATAACAACTCAACTTTATCTGCCTCTTTAACAACAGCAGCCAGCCCAACACACAACAATACTACCCTTACACTAGCAGACATCGTAACAATTTTCGCCTCCACAGTTTCTAATTCTACAACACCCAGCACATTAGCTAGCACTCCAGCATCTACACTGGTGAAAGTGAGTACAACTTCAGCATCTACAGTCATTGATACTTCAGAAACCACCCAAAATAACAGAAATATAACTTCAGATTCCACAGCCTCGAATTCAACACCACGAAGCAAAAGTACATCTACTCTGACAGAAAACCCCCCATCTTCGACATCAACAGTCTCTCCAACAACAGCATCCAGTACAACAAGCAGCACAACTGCATCAGAAGGGAGCACACACTTTGCTTTGACAACAACCAGCCAAACAAGTGTCAGTGTATCTACACCAGAAGATAACAAATCAACTTCATCAGCCTCTGTAGTGAGTACAACTTCAGCAGTCACCATTGTAAATACTTCAGAAACCAGCCAATCGATTAGCATTACTTCTTCACCAGCAAATATAAAAACAACTTCAGCATCCACAGCCTCAGATACAACACCACCAAGCACATCAAACAGCAATACTAGCCCTACACTAGCAGAAATCGTAAGATCTTTAGCATCCACAGTCTCTACTCCAACGCCCAGTACTACAGGCAGCACTGCAGCATCTACACTGGTGGAAGTGAGAACAACTTCAGCACTCGCCGTTGTTAATACGTCAGAAACCAGCCAATCGATTAGCATTACATCTTCACTAGCAAATATTAAAACAGCTTCAGCATCCACAGCCTCAGAAACAACACCACCAAGCACAACAAACAGCAATACTAGCCCTACACAAGCAGAAATTGTAACTTCTTTAGCGTCCACAGTCTCTGATACTACAACACCCAGTACAAAAGGCACCACAGCAGCATCTAGACTGGTAGAAGAGAGTACAATTTCCGCATCCACAGTCACTGATACCTCAGAAACCAGCCAATCAAATAGCCTTACATCTTTACCAGTAAATATAAAACCAAATTCAGCATCCACAGCCTCAGATAGAACAGCACCAAAGACAACAAACAGCAATACTACCCCTACATTAGCAGACAACGCAACAACTTTAGCATCCAAATTTGCTGATATTACATCACCCAGCGAAACAGGCAGCACTGCAGCATCTACAATGGTGGAAGTGAGAACAACTTCAGCATCCACCATTGGGGATACAACAACACAGAGAACAAGTACAAGTACATCTACATTAAAAGATACACATTTGTCTTTGTCATCCACATCCTCTCCAACAAAATCTCCCATTACAACAAGAAGCAATAATGCATTAGATGCGAGCACAAACCCAATGGCCGTAGCTTTTGCTTCAACAACAACCAGCCAAACAGACGGCAACACATTCAAACCAGCAGATAAAAGCACAACTTCAACAGCCTCTGCACAAACAGCACTCAGCACAACAAACAGCAATACTACCCCTACACTAGGAGACATC